CTGTGGTCACCCTACTCCCCCATGAGCTCTCTCAGCTGCCCAGCCCAGAGAGGCCAGTCCTATGCTGTCCCTGGCCAAAGTGAGTTCAGGGCAAGCCTAGATTTCAGAGTTGGGCATGAAAACCATTCCGTCCCCTGCCCAATGCCCTGCCCACTTTTTTATTTGAGACAGTATCTCACCAGGTCACACAGTTATCCAGGCTGGGATGAAACTTGCAGTCTTCTTGCCTCAGCCTCCCAGAGTGCTGGGATTGTAGGCATGTGTCATCTCCTCTAGTTTCAGCAGCTGTAATAGAGTCGCAGAGTTTTATAGCCTCCACACCACCTTTTTTAAAAAATGTATTTGGTACAGGGTCTCATTACACAGCTCAGACTCATAGTGATCCTCCTATGTTTAGCCGACCCAGTGCTGGGATCCCAAGTGTGCGACGCTGCCCTGGGACTCGGTGGCCAGCTCAGCACGCCTGGGGTAGCGCCTGCGGGGCATGCAGTAGCAGGGATCGAACCCAGGTCCCTGAGTTTGCTTAACCAGGTGCTTAGTCTGTTGAGCTATCTCCCCCGCCTGAGTCACAGAATTTTATGTCAGTACCACAAGTAATTGTAGAACATTTTCTTGTACTGAAAAAAAAAAAAAAAAAAAAAACCTCCTGACCTCTGAAGTAAAATTCCCCAATTCTCTCCCTCCTTTACCTCAATTTACCCCAATTCTCTCCAGTCCTTAGTGAGCATATCAGTGTACTTCCCAGGTACAGACATATCTTTTTTTTTTCTTTCTTTCTTGTTAAGAGACAGGGTCTCGCTATGTACTTTAAGCTGGCCTTGAGCTCACAGCCATCCTCCTGCCTCAGCCTCCCTGTGCTGGGACCACAGGCATGTGCAGGGTTAGAGGACGGCAAGGGCTGCCAGGAGCCAGGCTCACCCTGACCCTCGTTCCTCACAGGCGTGGATGACACGGTCACCGTGCTCCTTCAGTACCCAGGCGGCATCCATGGCAGCTTCACCTGTAGCATGACCAGCAATCTTGGCAACACCGCGTCTGTGAGCGGCACCAAGGGCAGAGCTGAGGTGAGGGGCCTGGGCTCCGATGCTGGGAACTGTGGCGGTCAGCAACACACAGGGCAGGCCTGGAGCTGAGGTGAGCTGGCAGATTTTACCCCCTTGCTAAGGATGCCGTTCTCCTACCAGCCAAGCCAAGCGGTGGCCTTTGAGGCTGTCCCTGGAGGTGAACCCACTGGTATGTTCAGGACATTGGTCGTGAGAGGACAGTGTCTGTTCTCTTTTTCTTCGGTTTATGGCCCTGGGGGTGGAGTGCAGGGCTCTTGAGTGCTAAGCCTGCATGCTGCTATCCTGATGTACCCCAGCCCAAGAAACCAGGTCTTAGCAGGTGTGGTCGTGCATACCTGTAATCCCAGCACTCAGGAGCCTGACGCGGGAGCATCATTACAAATTGGAGGCCAGCCTGGGCTACGAAGAGAGCTCAGGGCCAGCCTAAACTGCATAAGGAGATCCTGGCCCCAAAAGATAAAACAACAAAGAAGCAGTCTTACCAGCGGTCATTGGGGGGCAGTTGTTACCTTTGGAATCGCTCCTCGGGCAGGGTCTGGGTATTACCTGAGGTCAGCTTCCCCTGTCCCCCATCTCTAGCACTCCAGGAAAAAAGAAAAGATTTCAGACGTGGAGGCACATGCCCCTGTTCTCAACACTTGGGAGGCTGAGGCAGGAGGATCACAGTGAGTTTGAAGATAGCCTGGGTTACATAGTGCAGAGCCAGCCTACACTACACATCAAGACCCTGTCTATCTCAAGAAAACAAAAAAAGCAGAAGAATTTGAGTCTTTCTCTGGGTTTGTGGGATCTCAACTACTCTAGCCTCAAGACTCAAGAGGAAACTGGACTGGGCCTCTGTATTTCTGTTTTGGCCTAGACTAGGGACTAGGGGCAAGTCAGGCTAGTCAGGCTTCAGGCTAAAGAACAGGCCCAGCAGATAAGAAGGTGCTGAGTGGTTTGCACACCAATCTGGCAGAGGGAATTCCTGGAGATGCTGAGAGATAAGCTCCAAGTCTCCAGTCCTAGGAAGCACCTTGGCCTCAGGCAGCAGGTTATAATACGAGGGAGAACACCAAGTTTGAGTGGGATAGTGGCTTTAATAAAGAGGAAAGCCTTAGGCAACCAGGGACAAGGCAGAACTCAAAACTTGAGAGACGGGCATGGTGGCACACATTGGTAATCCCATTGCGTAGGTAGCTGAGGCAGGAGGATGACAAGTTCCAGACCACCTTGGAGTACATAGTGAGACTTTCTTTTCGAGAGAGGGTCTCACTGTGCAGTTCAGGCTGGCCTTGAGTTCGATTTGTTCCCTAGGCTGGTCTCTCAGCCATCCTCCTGCCTCAGCCTCCCCAGTGCTGAGATTACAGGCATGAGCCACCTGACACAGCACCCTGGATGCCCTGTTAGTGAGAACAACAGCAGCACTTTTTTTTACACCTCGCCTCAGGTTATCCCAGCCTGGGCTCCCATGGAGCTGGTGGTGAATGGGGAGCGGAAGAAGTTCCCTGGGTACCTTGACTCTAAGAAGACATACAATTTTCCCTACTCTGAAAACCTGGTTTTTGAGGCCATGCATGTCCGAGAGTGCTTGCGCAAGGGTAAGGGTAAGGGTGTGGAGGATAGGGGCGGGGACAGGCCTGGAAGAACCCTCTGTACGCCTGTCAAGGCAGTCAGAAAGCTTTGTGGAACTACATCTCCCAGGATGTCCTGGGGCGCCAATCTACCTGCAGCCTGCAAGGCTGAGCCCCGTGGGATTCTGGGAAATGTATTTTTATGGGTTTCTGGTTTGTGGGGAGTTGACTGGGTCCCTCATAGCACTTGCTCCTCAGGCTTGAGGGAAAGCCCTGTGATTCCGCTAGCTGAGAGTGAGCTCCTGGCTGACATCCTGGAGGAGGTGAGGAAGATCATCGGAGTCACATTCCCCCAAGACAAACGCTGATACCAGTTTGAATAAAGAAAAGGTTCGACCAGGGATGGTGGCTCACGTCTGTAATCCCAGCACTCCTGAGGCAAGATGATCTCCACAAGTTCAGGGCCAGCCTGGGCTACACAGTGAGTGCAAGGCCAGCCCGACTTACAGAGACCCTGTCCCCTAAACAAAAAATAAAGTCAAACCAACCAAACAAAACTGCAGTAGTCGGGCTATTCCTTTGATGGTGTGAGAAGCACAAGTCAAAGTGGCCTGGACAGAAGGTGGGATTCCAGGTGACTCTGCCCTCTGTGCCCCCCGCACAAGTTTTCTCTTTTCCTGTCACTTTCCACGGTGCTGGCGTCATAGTACAGACACTGGTTAAAGATAGCTGTGACACTGGAACCAGAGAGCCCAGGCAGCCTCGGGCAGGGAACAGAGTGGATAGCAGTCGCAGCAAGAAGCCAGGTCAGAAGAGGAACCAGTGCTCTCTTCCGTTCTCCATCTCTTCCATGAGGGAAGGCCAAGCCCATGGTGCAGCTGCCCCAATTAAGGCTCAAGCTCTGTTTCTTTGATTATTTGGGTTCTCCCAGAACATCCTTTCCCTCCTCCAAGGTCTCTTTATTGGAGACAGGGTCTTTCTAAGTAGTACAGACCTGCTTTAAACTCTGTTATATAATCCAGGCTGGCCCTGAACTCTTAACCAACCCCCCTGCCTCAGCCTCCTGCATAGTGGGATGATGCATATGCTCTGTCAGGCTGAGCCTGATCATTGTTCTTTTACAAGGAAGACAGTTCAAGGTGATGATAAACTGCAGAGGGAAGAAGGTCCCCATTACTCCCTAGCTGTGTGGCTTCCATTTAGTTTGTTTTAAGACCTTGAAGAGGGGCGGGGGAGATAGCTCAGTGGAATAAGTGCTTGCCTGGCAAGTGCAGGGTCCTGAGTTTGATCCCTGGTACCACACACACACAAAAAAGACCTTGAAGTTTTCCAACTCCTTCCTAATCATAGTCTGGACTTTGTCCGGGCCCTGAATCTTATTGGTGTGTTCAGAGTCAATTATATTCCACTGGGTTAGCCATGTGTGCTTGTGCGGTTCTGTAATCCCTGCCCTCAGGAGGCTGAGGCAGGAATGGCTGTGAGTTGGAGGCCAGTGTGAACTACACAGTGAGTTCGCGCCACACTTGGGTTTTATCTAGAGCTAATGATTAAGAAAAGAAAGAATAGGGGCTGGGGAGGCATAAGCATTTGCCTGGCTGACTCGGCCCGCGAGTCGAGACGTGGGGTAATGACCTGGAGGAGGAACGGGGATGAACAAGACAGGGCAAGAGACA